TATGGGCCTGGGCGCTGTCCCTCAGCTCTTCAGCTCAAGGCTAGCACTCTACCACTTGAGCCACAGCACCACTTCTGGCTTTTTTCTTTTTGTTTATGTGGTGCTGAGGAATCAAACCCAGGGCCTCAGGCATGCAAGGCAAGCGCTCTACCACTGAGCCACCTTCCCAGCCCAGTTGATTGCATTCTTGATTCAAGTGAATTCTAAATTTCAACTATAGGGTAGTAAAAAGTAAAGATTTTTTATTAAAGTATATAGACTCCTGAATTCTGCCTAGGGATCACATGATGGTGAAGATCTCTGTTTGGATGGTAATGTTCAGATGCTTTTCCTATTTAGTAAGGAACTACAAGAAGCAAGATGTGAACAAACAGCAAGATATTTCCATTATCCCATTTTCCAGGGAAGAAATTACCTATGTGTAAGGTCATGGCAGAGTTCAGCATTTTCTATTAATCTCTTATATTCACATTATTCATTATCCAATTATCCAGAGTAGTCCTATCAATCGATTCTTTTACATGTTATTTCATTAATACTTACTATTTGCCTGGCATTTAAAAGAAATTTTTGCTTCTCAAATGTCGCTTTTAAGTAAGAATAAAAAAAAAATATTTGGAGTACAAATCTAACTCTCCAAAGGGAATAAGTGAAGAGATGGAATTAAGTTATTTGACAAATTCTTTATTTTTTTTCATCTGAGACCTAGTCTCAAATTTGATATCTGATGCTTTTGATCATTGGTTGGTGTTCTGCTACCTGAGCCACGCCTCTAACCCCTCTCTGATTAAGAGAATCCTCCTAATCCAATCAATGTAATCCTAGCTACTCTGGAGGCCGAGATCTGGGAATTGTGATTTTAAACCAACCTGGGCAGGAAAGTCTGTGAAACACTTATCTCCAATTAACCACTAGAAAACAAGAAGTGTAGCTGTGAACTAAAGTGGTAGGCCCCTAGCCTTGAGCAGAAAAGCTCAAGGACAGTGAGCTCACAAGTTCAGAGTTCAAGCCCCAGGACTGGCACCAAAAAAAAAAACAAACCTATTCTGACCTAAAATTGTGTTTGTGTGGATGATTTTTTTAAAGCTCTTCCAGCTAAGCCTGAGAACATTTCCTGTGTCTTATACTATAATAAAAATATGACTTGTACTTGGAGTCCAGAGAAGGAAAGCAGTCCTACCACATACACTGTCAAGCTGACATAGTAAGTATAGGAGCTTGTGCCTTGCTAGTGGGGGTAATGGGAGGAGGCTCCTGATTCCCAGATGAGTCAAGTTACCTAAGAAGGTAACTACTACATATATCCAGTGTGCTGGGATGGCATTGATAGCAGCAAAGGGAGGGGCTGCAGAGCCTCCTGCTAACCAGCTAGCTGTTAGAGCTGTCTGCTGGGCTGAGACGAGTCACCAGTCACCATGGAAAAGTCTGTTTACTATATTCAACCACGCTTCTCTTCTTTGTAAAAATATGATCTGCCAAGAGGCAGATCAATCCACTTCAGTCTGCCACAAGTTCATTGTCAAACCAGGCCACTGCCAGTGACCCACGAGGACAGCGATTCCCTCAAAGATCTTTATTTTCTGTTACAATAAAAGATCTATAATTTTTGAAGTATAATTCTAGCCCAAGTTAGATATTTGTCTATATGTAGGCTCTTTAATTTAAAAAAAATAACTAATAAAATCCATTACTTCCTTCTTATTCACTTTAGGGACAAAGTGTTAAAAAAAAGCCACATAATCAAATACAATAATTTTAACATTGTTAAAAATTTGTTTTCCACTACTGGGGTTTTGAACTCAGGGCCTTGTGCCTTGAGCTAGGCAAGCACTTTACTATTTGAACCATACCTCCAGCCCCTCTTGCTTTTAGAGTATTTTTGCTTCCAAGCCAGCCTGGGAACACAATCCTCCACTTATTATTTTTACTGTAAAGGTGATGCACCGAGGGGCTATAGTTACATAAGTCAGGCAATGAGTACATTTCCTTTGAACAGTGGTGTCTCCCATCCCTCATTTTATCCCAGTTCCCTCCCATCCCCCTTCTCCCCCAAGGTATATAGTTCATTTCCAACATAGTGTCCTAGTGGGTATCACTGATGAATTAGTTTACCCTTTGTCCCACCATTTCTGGGCTTCTTCTTCTCCTCCCCAAATCAAATAAACTTACATACAAGACAAAGGTACAGAAATAAAAAAAAGCAAAAAAAATCCTGCTACTTATGCTTCCTGCATCGCTGGGATTATAGTGCACACCACCACATCAGCTTAATTGTTGAGATATGGGGTCAAGTTAGCCTTGAACCACATTCTTTTCAATCATTGCCTTCTGAGTAGCTTGGATTACAGGTGTGAACCACTAAACCTAGCCCCAGTTTTAATATTTTCATGAAGAGTTTTCTATATATCACCATAAAGTAGTTATATAAATACCTATGTTGCTATTACTGTGATCACTGCACATGGTGTGCATTTGTTTTTTAACCAATAATACAATATAGACATCTTTCCATATGCGTAAAGATAGATACATTAAAAGACATTACCAAAACCCCTATTTTTATATGTACACCATAGTTTATGTAACAGATCCACTTTGCTTATTTTTTTGGTGAGGACAGTATTAGGGTTTAAATTTAGGACTTTCCATTTACTAAACAAGCACTCTAGCACTTAAGCTATAGTTTTAGTCCCTTTATTTAGCTTTAAGTATTTTTTGGGTAGACTTTCATAGTTTTGCTTTGAGCTGGCCTCAGACCTTAATCCTCCTATGCTTGGACCTCCCACACAGCTGGGATCACAGTTACCTACTACCATACTTGGCTTATTAGTTTGATAGGGTCTCACTAACTTTTTGATGGTGGTCATTCTTGAACCATGATCCACCTAATCTCTGCCTTTAGCTAGAATTACAGGCATGAATTACCATGTCCAGTTCTCTGATTTTTTTAAAATGAATAAATTCTTAAAGCTAGAATATGGAATTCAAAGAGCCTATTAACTGTGTCTTGCCAATAGGAAATGTGTTGTGGTACAGCTTTTATTGGGCTTACACAATTTCCAGGAGGCGACATATTTCATAGCATCCCAGCTAGGCTGGATGCAGGTAGAACTTTTTAATTATTGATGGGACCAGGACCCAGTCCTAGACCACAGTTCTTAAGAGAAATCTAGAGTAAAACTAACAAATTCTGCTTAATATACACAAGTATGAGTATGGTTCCAAATTTCTGTATTAAACTTACATTGATTCATTTTTCCTTTCAAAGCTCCTATGGAAAATACAATAGGATCTGTGAAGCCAACAGCACCACAGGTGCTTCATGCTACTTTTTATTTCCATTGGTAATACCCCCAGATAACTGCAGCATTGAAGTGAAAGCTCAAAATAAAGATGGTGTAATTAAATCTGATACCACATATTGGTACTTAGATGACATAGGTAAGTGTTCTCCAATATTTTTCTGTAATGTTGAATACTCAATCAACTTCTTTTTTTTTAAAGAGGTATCTGTGATCTCAAAAGTACACGTTAAACTCAAGAGAATAATGGATATGTGTAATGGTTATACAAAGATATATTAGAGGAAAGATAAAAGGAGAGAGGAAAGGACATAAGGAAGGATGTAAGAAAAGAAAGAGGGAAGAAGGAATGAAAGGAATTAGGAAGGAATGAAGGAAGTCTGTTTGAGTGAGAAAAGAGAGTTATCTTAATGGCCATTGATTTCTTCTTTCAGTTTGTAATTTAAGTTGTACTAAAAATAAATAAATAAAAAGACTCTCCCCAAAATAATTACTCATGAAGAAAAAGAGTAAAACTTTTGTATTTAAATTCTGATTCTTAAATTCATTTTTGAGAGCAAATTTTTACCATGTAATTTTAAAACAGCTGCTTCTTTGAGATACAATTCACATATGCAATCAAGTTCAAGTTTTTCTTGGATCTCTTATTAGCATATCTTAATTACAAGGAGTTTCTGTATGATATTTCTATATACCCATATAAAGTACTTTGATCAGTATTATCCCTCTATTACCCTCCCTTATCCTTCCCCTTTTAAAACAATTGAAAGGAATTTCATTATTCTATTTTCATAAATTTGTATGAAGTGCTTTTTATCATATCCATTCCCCCTTTTCTTTTTACCTTTCCATCTCCTGTTGATTTCCATCCTCAAACAAATTCCTGTTTTACACTTGTGTTATTCCTTTTTTGATAGATATACATGTTCTACCTATTGGAGAGATATGTCTGAGATATGATGTTTGTCTTGCTTAGTCTGGCTTATTTCACTTAACATGATGATTGCCTGTTCCAGCCATTTTCCTGCAAACAGTATGTTTGACTTTATGCCTTACTAAACTCCATTGTGTGTATAAATACTATATTTTCTCAATCTATTCATGAGTTGATAAGCATGTAGGCTGACTCCATACCTGGCTAAGGTGAGCAATGCTGTTATAAACATCAAATGCAGGTATCATATCTGTGGAAGCTGAATACATTTCTTACATTTCTTTGGATATATACCCAAGGGTAGTGCAGAAGGGCCATAGGTATGTCTATTTTCAGGTTTTTTGATGAACCTCCATACTGATTTCCAAAGTGGTTGCATCCAATTGTATTCCTACCAATGGTGTTTATAAAAATTCTTCCTCCCCTTATCCTTGCCAGCATTTATGGTTTGTGCTTCTATTTAAAATAGTTTATTCAACTTATTTGTTCCTTTCTTGATTTATTAATTGTTGGCATCTAATTTTTGTACTGTTTCTGTATTCTGGATATTGATCCTTAATCTGATGACTAGCTGGCAAATGTTTTTATTTTGTATGTTTGTCTCCTGATTCTGGCAATTGTTACCTTTGCTTTGTAGAAGCTTTGTAATGTTGACACAATCTTATATACCAATTCTTGCTCTTATTACCTGAGAAATTGGAATCCTATTCAGAAAGATTTTACCTGTGTTTATATTTTTCAAATGTTCTCGCTCTGCTTTCTTCTAGTACTTACAAAGTTTCATGCCTGACCTTTATAGCTCTTTTCCTTTTGTGTTGGTGCTGCTTGTTCACTGCTTGCTAGGCAGGTTCTCTACCACTTGAGGCATATTCTCAACACTTGCTCTAGTTCTTTTTTGGTTAAGGTTTCATTTTTTCTTTTCCTTCCCCCCACCCTCCCCCCTGCCCCAGAGCCAATGGCCTGGGCACTGTCCCTGAGCTTTTTGCTTAAGACTCATTTTCTACCAGTTGAGCACAATTCTACTTCCAGCTTTTAGTGGTTAATTGGAGATAAGAGTGTCATGGACTTTTGCTGCCTGGCCCAGCTTTGAACCTTTTCCTGACTGGTCTGGCTTTGAACCATGATCTTCAGATCTCAGCCTCATAAGTAGCTAAGATTAGAGGCATGAGCATAGTTAGTATATGTCTCCATGACCTCTTTTCCCAAGCTTCTGCAGAAGCTTCTGCAGGTCTATAGTCTCTTTGTAGCTTTCATGAGCTATGCTTATAACATTCCCTACCTCAGTTTGAAATTAGGCACAACAGAGACTAGTCTTTAAGTTTGCTTTCAGGCATGCTAGAATGCTATAAATAAGGTTCATTCTGTTCCTTAATGTTGGAGGAAGGCATCAAAGGACTGGACTGCCACCCCCTTCAAATTTATAATCCTCCTATCTGGGTCTCCACAGTACTGGGAAAACAGTAGTGAACCACCATGCCTGGCTAAAATACATGTATTTCAAAGACAGAAACTTGGCATTAGAACGTTTATAGTGGCAAGAAAATGAGAGGTGATTTGTGGTGGGTATTTCTTCATCCTGCTGGTCAAGGAAGAGAAGCCAAGGAAGGAGAAGGGAAAATGGGTAAGAATTTTATCCCATTTCCTGGTTATATAGTCTTTTTTCAAAGAATTTTTCCATTGTAGTTTATTTAATAACTCACTATTTGCTTATAATTGGATGATGATGATGATGGTGATGATGATGGTGAAGATGAAGATAATGATATCTGTGGTCACTCTTTACTTCCTTTCTGCTTGACGTATGACTCAATGAAGAAAAGGCTGATCTGCAGAAAACTAACAGGAAAAACCCTTTCTCATTGGGCATTTATCTTTGGGGAAGTACCTTCATCACTGCTTTGCTAATGTGATCTGCATATAATAAACAACAATATATACACTGTGATTTCCTTTCTAGGCTTATTATGTTTTTAATTTTGAGTGGATGTTATTAGCATCTTCTCATCCATTTGCAAGCATGAGAATTATATGTATTTTGTTGTTGTTTTTCTCATTTTCAGTGAAAACTGAACCACCTGAGATTTTAAGTGTGAAACCAGTTTTGGGCATCAAACGAATGATCCAGATACACTGGAAAACACATGAAATATTTCCTCCTGGGACGTGTTTAGACTATATGCTTCGATACAGGACCATCAATAGTACCCACTGGGTAAGTTATGCTCCTGTATTATTCCTGTTAGAGGACCTCCAAAGAAGGGACTCACTGACAATTTTTGTATATCTGGAATCATCTTTCTTCCTTTATACATTGAAAATAGAAAAGAAGGGGCTGGGAAGGTGGCTCAGTGGTAGAGCGCTTGCCTTGCATGCATGAGTCCCTGGGTTCGATTCCTCAGCACCATATAAACAAAAAGAAAAAAGCTGGAAGTGGCGCTGTAGCTCAAGTGGTAGAGTGCTAGCCTTGAGCTGAAGAGCTGAGGGACAGTGCCCAGACCCAGAGTTCAGGCCCCATAACCAGACCCCCCCCCCAAAAAAAAGAAAATAGAAAAGAAGTAATAGTGAGTCCTCTATTTCCAGTTTCCCGTTTGTACTTTTTAGATCAAAAGAAGCATATAGCCTAAGCATAGGAACATATTAAAGAATGGGAGCCGTTTGCTGGTGGCTCATGCCTGTAATCCTAGCTACTCAGGAGGCCGAGATGAGAGGATTGCAGTTCAAAGTCAGCCCAGAAAGTGCATAAGACTCTTATCTCCAATTTACCACCAGAAAACAGGAAGTCGTGCTGTGGCTTAAGTGATAGAGCACTTGCCTTGAGCCGAAAAGCTCAGGGACAGCACCCAGGCCCAGAGTTCAAGCCCCAGGACTGAAAAAAAAAAAAAAGGGGAAATTTACTTTTGCATCCACCCTAGATTATGTCTATGTTGGTCACTAGAGACTATGATTTGGCTGTTTTCTTTTTCCAATCTTTTTTTTTCTTTTTACAATCTTTTATAAAATTATGAAGTCTAGTCTGGGAATAAGACTTAGTGGTACAGTGCTTGCCCAGCATGTATGAAACCTTGGGTTTGATTCCCCAATCCCACATAAACAGAAAAGGCTGGAAGTGGTGCTGTGGTTAAAATGGTAGAGTGCTAGCCTTGAGCAAAAGAAGCTCAGGGACAGTACCCAGGCCCTGAGTTTAAGCCCCAGGATTGGCAAACATAAAAATAAAAAATAAAAACAAAATAATGAACTCTAACATACACTTAGAAAGAGAATGAGGCATACATTGCATTTAAAAATCATTAAGGCAGCAACGCATGTAATCTCACTAAAGTCCAAACATGACAGAACCATCTCCTTTCCCTGACAACCCTCCTCTCCCTCGCCCTCCCCCTTAGAAGAATTGCTCTCCTGTTTTCATTGTAGTCATTTCTTTACTTTCAATATAGTTTTATTGTTTCATCCTGAGTTCCTGAAAAATATAATTTATGAATCCCCCCCTTCCCAGAGTATGTATATCTCTATAGTGCCCAGTAGAGGTATATGAATGGACTTAATACCTTTTGTACTTTTTGTCTTTGACTTAGTTCTCTTAATATTGTGTTTTTAACATTCATGTAGTTTATATACTTTGTTAGATTTTATTCTCTTGCATGAATGCAACAAGATCACTGCATTAATTTGCTTTACCTGACTTTTAATAAGATTTGCATACCTCTTCATGTGATTATTGGCCATTTAGATGTCTTCTTTTTTTTTTTTTCCGGTTGTGAGGCCTGAACTCTGGGCCTGGACACTGTCCCTCAGCTCTTCAGCTCAAGGCTAGCGTTCTACCACTTGAGCCACAGTGCCACTTCTGGCTTTTTCTGCTTATGTGATACTGAGGAATCGAACCCAGGGCCTCATACATGCAAGGCAAGCGCTCTCCCACTGAGCCACCTTTCCAGCCCCTAGATTTATTCATGTGTGTGTGTGTGTGTGTGTGTGCACGCATGCATGCATGCACGTGCATGTGCACACGCACACATGCACAGGTCCTGCAGCTTGAACTCAGGGGCTGGGCTCTGTCTCGAGTTTTCTTTTTCTTTTTTTGGTTGGTTGTGGGGCTTGAACTTGGGGCATGGATACTTTGCCTTTTTTTTTTTTTTTTGCTCAAGGCTAGTGCTCTACCACTTTGAGCCACAGCACTACTTCTGATTTTGATATTTTGATTTTCTGGTGGCTAATTGGAGATAAGAATCTTATGAACTTTCCTGTCTGGTATGGCTTCAAAATGCAATCCTCAGATCTCAGCCTCCTGACTAGCTAGGATTACAGGCATGAGCCATCGGAGCCTGGCTCATAATTTATTTCTATAACCATATGTAATCAACTAATACAACTTAGTTATTGGAACTTGGAGCCTTGTGGGAAAGCAATCAAGAATATTACTGGTGGGGCTGGGAAGGTGGCGCAGTGGTAGAGTGCTTGCTTTTGTATGCATGAGGCCCTGGGTTTGAGTCCTCAGCATCACATAAGCAGAAAAAGCCAAAGGGGCACTGTGGCTCAAGTGGTAGAGAGCTAGCCTTGAGTTGAAGAGCTGAGGGACAGTGCCCAGGCCGAGAGTTCAGGCCCCACAACCACCACCAACAACAACAAAATTAAAAAAAGAATATTACTGGTCTTGTTGGAGTATGAATATAGACTCAGGCTTCTATGAGTGTGCCTAGTTACCATGACAACCATTCATCTTGTCCAGGAGGATGAGATCCTTTCCTTTATGGAAGCCCATATACAATATGTTGATTGTGTCTTTTCCTAGTCTAGAACCTTTTCAGAACAGTAAGTTGGTTTAGTTTCATGTATCCTGGTTTAGAGAAATGATGCTGGCCACTTTATGTCCCAGCTTCCTTTCTAAAACCAGTTCTGGAACCTTGCTTTTGGAACTCATCAACTTGTAGTTTAGGGAACCCCTAAGCAGAGCAGTCCTCAGAATAACACAGATTCATCTTCCTTTATCTCACATGTGGTCTTAGTGAGCTTGAAAACCATTGGAAGAGTAGTTAATTCCTATTTGTTGGAGTCTGCAGTCACCATAGATTTTGAGATAAGTTTCAATGAGAAAAAGAAATATTAACCTGTGTCACTCTGGAAAACTATTTAACCATGTATAACACTGAGGGCAACAGTGTAATTACTATTACTCTTGGTGTGCTATACTTTACCCATCTGACAAAGTAACCTACATCTATTGTCACCTTTACTTCCTTTGGTTTTGTCTGTGAATCAGGTGGGATGTCTTCCCTCCTGCTTTCCTGGAGGGTGTGAGAAGGAAAATGGAGTGTGTAGTCACTACTCCTTCTCTCCCCCTCAGGCAAGCCTCAGTGATAGTCTCAGCTAAGCTCAACTCTATTGATTGCAACCTTGTATCCATGGTTCCCATTATTGATGGAAAGAGACTAAGTATTTGACAGAAGCTTTTATTCAGCCTTCTCAATTACCACTAAAGAAAACACTTTTTGTAAATTAGGATATTAGTATTTGGCACAGATCATAGATTGTTAAAAACAAACCTAATGAAGCTAATTAGTGTTTTGGTAGGATTCCAGTGCCCATATTGGAATGGGGAAAGTTTTATAGCTAAGCCAGTATATGATGGATCAATGGATCACATGTCCCGTGAAAGCTAATAATGCCTAGGCTAGGCAAAAAGCCAAGGTAAAAGAAGCCTTAAAGGCAAATTGTTGGAAATTCAGACAGACTGCTTTGTTTTGGATGAGGTGGCTGGGAATAACTGGCTCATGTTAGTGTTTTCTGAGCATGAATGGGATGAAAGGAACAAAGCTATATTGTGTGTGTGTGTGTGTGTGAGCACACGCACTTGTGACAAATTACAAATCAAGAGGGTAAATTAGGAGAACCTTTTTGTAAAATAAAAGAATATTATATATTTTTAAAAGCACAAAAAAGTGAAATAGCATTTTATTAGAAGTCTTCACATTTGTTGTATGGATTGCTCTTATTTTTATTTTCATTATATATGGAGGGTACCATGAAGTTGGGCCTCTCCAAATGGTCTCAGCCCTGTTTCAATTGGAGTTCATAACTCACCATAGGTTATCTTAAGGTTTGTTGCCTGCAACCAAAAGATACTATCATATGGCTTGGGCATCAGCAACTAAATTTCCATCAGCTCTGGATCCTGCCTCCTTTGTATGTCTCTATTTCACTAGCCTGGAAGTTTAGTTTTCTTCTTTAGCTGGGATGTTCAGCTTTCTGTTGTAGACACAATTTCTTCATTTACCCAATTTTCTTTAGACCTAGAACGATGATGAAATACTCATTTTTATGCCTCTACATATAGAACTTCCTTCTCTTGCAGGATTCTGTGAAACTATGTGGTGTGCATACTAGCAAAGTGGACATTCTGCTAGCACAGTTTATTTTTTATTAATCAACTAATTTATAAATCAATAGCTAAACATTTTATTGTAGTAATAATGACTATACTTATTAATAAATACCTAAACTTTTAGTTTTTCTTGGAAGGATGGATCCAGAAAGGATTTTTGTTTTTGGTCGGTTCTGGGGCTTGAATTCAGGGATTGGGCACTGTCCCTTATCTTTTTTTTGCTCAAAGCTAGCACTCTACCACTTTGGGCCAGTTCCACTTCTGGTTTTAGTTAATCAGAGATAAGATTCTTATGGTCTTTTCTGCCTGGGCTGGCTCCGAATCATAATCCTCAGATCTCAGCCTCCTGAGTAGCTAGGATTACAGGTGTGAGCCACCAGATTCTGGCCAGAAGGGATTTTTAAAAACTACCAAACAGTACTTCATTTTACTGAGAATTTTACACACTTGAGAGAAAAAAACCCCAACTTTTTAAAACCTCTTCTCAATAGAGCATTAAAACGAATTTATATATACAGCTATGTAGATTTTGGCAGCTTGAATCGTCAAGCCTAAACCAAGTTTGAAATGAAAGAGCTTGGTAAAGTAAACAGCTTAGGCAAGAATACTTATGTGCCCAGCCCTCGTTGCACTGATGACAGCACACTGCAGTTGTCCAAGATCACTTAAACTCCCCTGGGTCTCATCAATGACATGAGGATTGACCTTGATGCTGCTAAAGCTGACTGTAGGTTTTAGAGTCACCTCTGAGTTTAAGCTGAGGCCCAAGTTGCCCTGGGTCATGGGACCCCACCTTACATCTTGCAGAACAGCTTGTACCTGGCTCAGAGGTAAGGCTCTCTTCCCCACAAGCTTAAAGACAGGAAATGAATAGTTATTCATGGAGTGATTCATCTATTTGGGTATGGAGTGTACCCCAGGCACATGTGGAGGTATGCTTATGAAAATGCCATACTTAAAAATTTGAAATACAGGGGCTGGGAAGATGGCTCAGTGGTAGAGCCCCTGTCTTGCATGCCTGAGGCCCTGGGTTAGATTCCTCAGCACCACATAAAGCAAAATGAAAAAAGCCGGAAGTGGAAGTGGCTCTGTGGCTCAAGTGGTAGAGCACTAGCCTTGAGCTGAAGAGCTGAGGGACAGCGCCCAGGCCCAGAGTTCAGGCCCCACGACCGGACCCCCCCCCACAAAAAAAATTTGAAATACAGTTTTAAAATAGTAAGAGAGCATTGAGGAATGAGAGGAAGAGTGAAAATAATATGCTGTCAGTTCACAGTTGTTTCTGTTTTATAGGTAGAAATCAAGTTCGAGAGCAATTATCCGGCCTATAACCTCACAGACCTGCAAGCTTTCACAGAATATGTCATAGCTCTGAGATTTATGACCATCGATTCACGATTTTGGAGTGACTGGAGTCAAGAAAAAGTGGGAATGACTGAGGAAGAAGGCAAGTTACTCTGTAATTCCTTGATTGCTTGCTCTGGTGTTGGGCTGGCTTGGCTTAGACCTAGTGGATTTTGTCAAACATCATGTAATCCTATCATCAAAGCCTGGTGAGTCGGCATGTTTTCTGTTCATAGACAACCATAGTACCCACTAAGCCTGTGGTACTCAAATGGTATTAGTTACCTAAGCAGCTTTGTGCCCAAAGGTAATGAATTTTATCTTAGTTCTTTTATAAGGTTATATTCGACATAAAGTGGAAATGTATCTTGAAACTGGGCACTGGTACCTGTAATCCTAGTACTCAGGAGGTTGAGATCTGAGGATCTCAGTTCAAAGCCATCCCAAGCAGGGATGGAAGTAGAGCTGTAATGCAAACAATAGGACACTAGTCTTAGCAAAATGAGTTCAGGGATAGGGCCCAAGTCCTGAGTTCAAGCCCCAAGACCAGCATTAAAAAATAAATAAAAATAAAGGTATCCTTGATAAGTTAAAGATAGTTGCTGAAGAACAACTATTAAAAATTTAAAGCTGTAACTACTAAAAGAAAAACAAGATCACATCTTTGATGACAGCAGGAAAAGGAAAGAGACAGACTACATGGCTAAGTGTCATACTAATTTCCAGTAACATGCTGAGTCAACTTCTATTTTCCTGCACAGATCTTTCCCTCTGGCTCCTTCTGTTTTCCATAAAACATTAACAGATATTTGACATGTTCAGCCTTTTAGTCAGATTCAGGAACCAACCTGATGTCCTCTAAATTTTCTATTCTGCATGGGGGATGTTCATGCTTAGTCTGGATTTGCCCTTAGTAGATTTAGCTTCAGAACAGGAGTCACTTAGCAGTTGGGAAATTGGGCTAGATAATATGTTAAGGACCCTTCTTACCCCGAGAGTCAGAGTCTGTTCTTTTTTTTTTTTTTTTCAGTTGTAGGGCCTGAACTCTGGGCCTGGGAGCTGTTCCTCAACTCTTCAGCTCAAGGCTAGCTCTCTATCACTTGAGCCACAGTACCACTTCTGGCTTTTTCTGCTTATGTGATGTTGAGGAATTGAACCCAGGGCCTCATACATGCAAGGAAAGCACTCTACCACTGAGCCACCTTCATTCTTCAGCACCACATAAGCAGAAAAAACCAGAAGTAGCACTGTGGCTCAAGTGGTAGAGCGCTAGCCCTGAGCTAAAGAGCTGAGGGACAGTGCCCAGGCCCAGAGCTCAGGCCCTATGACCAACAAAAAAATAAATAAAATCAAGTAATATGTAAAGTCTAAACAACTCCAATATCCTTATAAGCAGGTTAAGTGAAGTTACAATAGATCTCATTGAGAAACTAGGGGACCTAACAGTTGTTTGTGTTAGCTACACTTTGGTTTCTGACAGAATAGTTATAGAAATGTGACCTTCCATTGATAACAAAAAGTTGACTTTGCTAGAGTTCAGCAGTTTTACTTTAGGATACTTAATCATTTAAAGTTTAAAAAAATCTCTGGAGGCAATCTTTCAGTGCTAACGTCATATATATCTTGGCCTTTGTGGTGGGCCCCATTCTTTGTTGACCTAATTATAGTTTCCCCAGTCAGTATCCTTGAGAAAGCCCTCAACCACTGCAGCTCCCAAATTAGGGTCATTTCTTCTCTTCTCCAAATTATAGGCCACTGGCCTAGTAGACAGTTCTTTAGAGTTCTCTGGAATTTTTATATGTTTGAGTATTTTTCTCCCTTCCTGGCTGAAATATGTAAGTCATTCTTTAAATCAGTAGCTTTCAGATACATGTCAGAATTTATAGTTTGCCAGTGATATACCCCTTCTAAAGTTTATTTGAGACATATGATTTAGTTCAGAGAACAAGTAAAATAGTAAAATACGATTCCTTATTTTTGTAAATTTTTTCCTGTGTAGTCATACTACCAGACTCCTGTACACTTGAACTGTATTGCGTTAGATTAGGCTGCTTACTAGAAAAATATGAGCTAGAATTTATACCTTTATGTATCTATCACCTGCTGTCTCCAACTCTTTCTTTGTGAGCTGGGCACATTGGTCAACCACAAGAAGCATGACTGTGGTATTTTTATGCTTTTGCTCACCAGAGATTGCAGATATTGGTCTTCATGTTATCTTGTATCTTTTCTTAATGATAATAAATTTACATAATAAATATACATAATAAATATCATTTCTAAATTTTGAGTCCCTAGCCAACAAAACAATTGCTTCATGTTATGAATTTCTGTATCCTTTTATATGGAGAAACATGTAACTGAAGATGGTTTCTTGCAGTATGTTGCTAGGAATTGAACCCTGGGATCCTCATACTTGTTTCTCAGCATGCCAGTGTAGAGCAAAGGCAAGAGCTTTAACCCTGAGCTGTGTCCAGAGTCTATTTTAATTTTGATTTTGAGGCAGCATTTCACTAAGTTGCCCAGCCTCCAACCTGCAATATTCTGTCTCAGTCTCCTAAGTCTATCTTTCTTTTCCTCCCTCCCTCCCTTTCTCTCTCTCTGTTTCTCTCTCTCTTCCTCTCTTTTTCCTTCCTTCTCCCTATAGTTCTGGGGGCTTGCACTCTGGGCCTAGGCACTGTCCTTGAGTTTTTTCCTCAAGGTTAGCACTCTATCCGTTAAGCCACATCTTTACTTCTGGAACTTTTAGTGGTTAATTGGAGATAAGAGTCTCACAGACTTTCCTTCCCAGGCTGGAAACCACAATCCTCAGATTTCAGCCTTTGGAGTAGCTAGGATTACAGGTGTGGGCCACTGGCTTTTGGCTCAATATGATTGTCTTTTAAGCATTTCCTGCAGGTAAGACCAGCACTAAACTTAGAGCTCAGGGAGTGACAGTGAAAATTTCCCTACTCCTTTGATTTTCCTATATATTATAATTATAGTTTTACAATTTTTGGAAGAGACATGGTATAAATTATCTGTACATATGCATTTTCTTTTCTGATAATTAAATGTGTCTTTCCCAGCCTTGATATATATAGATGTTATATCTTAAAGGACATATGATCATTGCATTTCCATCTAGATTATATTACAATGAGCTCTATTGTATTTTTCCTTGGCTTTACAGTAAGTTATCAGGTACAAGAGAAATTTTATCATAAGTTTGTTTGATTTCATTCTTTCAACTACAAACTGAAGCCCCTTGTTGGCCCTACTCTTCTTTTTCCTGCTGGCTTGCTTAAGCTTATGTTTCCCAATTACGCTTTCTAAACAGGCAGAGCAGCTGCATGTCTCTATTTTCTGCTGTCTCCAAACTTCTTTTGGGGTTGAGCACCTTGCTCTTGTTCTTCCAGCTCCACATGGCCTGAATCTGTGGAGAATCCTGAGACCAGCTGAGATGGACGGAATGAGGACAGTGCGGTTGCTATGGAAGGTAACTTCTATTGGGTTATGCTTTAACTCTGTCTCTTACTCTTCTCAACACTGATTCTTGACATTTTATCTCCTGAATTCATCTTCCTAGAGGCCTTTATGCTGGCTGAAACTACTCAGTGGCTGTTCAACTACATAGCCCCATAGATAATTTTGTAGGTGGCCTAAATATACCTTATAGGTCCTGGACTCTTTGTAGTCCAAACGACTTATACCTGTGTGCTAGCCTCCATTAGCATGCCATGTAAGACTCTGTAGTCCCACCCCCACAACTAACAGGAGCAGCCCACCAGTATGTTCTCAGGTAATTGCCAACATACCCGACCTATGTGCCTATTTGAGTACTGGGATAATGGGGTGCTAAGGCAGAAGAGGGGTAGAAAGGTAGAAGCTTAAGAGTACAAAACAAGAAGACAGCTCGGTAATGAAGGAAAGAGGAGAAAGGCATAGGTTATACGAAAAGAAAATGGGACAGGCCAAGAATAGGAAAAGGCAATATGTAGGGCAGGGAAAAGGAAAAATGGACGAAACTATGGGAGATAAGGGAGAAAAGATGGGAAGTTGAGGGGAAGAAGAAAGGGAGGACTAAGCTGCCACAAATCTTTAGCGTGTCTCCAGAATTCTCGGGAAATATACATGTCCTTTCCTTCTTGTTGAAGGCAAGTTAGATTCTTCTGACACACACACACACACACACACACACACACAGAGAGAGAGAGAGAGAGAGAGAGAGAGACCTGGTATGCCAAATGCTATCCAAACCCAATTACTTTAGAGTTGGAGCATCCTGACTTCATCCCTCTTCTATCACACCCAAGAGCTGTGGGACAACCTCAGGCTGCAAAGGCAGCAGACTTGTGAATGCTCCATCAGTGGTGTTGGGAAATCTTTGGGAATCAATCCCAGATGTTGTGATTTCTCTCTCATTTACCACACATGGAGACTGATGACTCCATGAACATATTTTTGGAGTGAGGGAAGGATACAACAGCGCATACACACATCTGGTCTTAGCTACACAATGGTGTTTGAAGGTCAAGTAGAAGAGCCTATGAGTAGATGACACAGGCTTCCATATCTCCCTCCTCCCCTATCGGAGGATTGGCATTCCTTTTGTTTCAATAGGAAAGTTTTCTAAGAATTTGACTAATTAAAAAAAAGGCTCCAGGTTCTTCCCACTCCATCTTTCTCCCCAAACCCTTGCCACTGACCTGCCCAGGACTGGCGTGATCTGGTGTGATCATCTGTTAGAGAAGAGATAAGTGAAACAAAACAAAACAACAATAAAATTGTATGGCAGTTTTTACTTTGTATCACTCATTTTTAACTTCATAAATATGATAACAAAAAAGAATGCAGTAAAAGATAATGAATTTTGGTAGTGGTGAAGGTTGTTTTCAGTCTATGAATATACTAAAATTCATTCAATTACACATTTTTTTATGCTGTTACTGGGGCTTGAACTCAGGGCCCAGGCACAATCTCCTAGTTTTTTCCATGCAGGCTAGCACTACTGTTTGAATCACACCTTCACTTTGGCTTTTTTTTTTCTGGTTAACTGAAGATAATAGTCTCACAGATTTTTCTGCCTGTGCTATTTCAAACCATAATCCTCAGAATAGTTAGGATTGTAGGCATGAGCCACTGGTTTCTGACTGGATTGCATACTTTTAAACAGTGAATATTATAGGTCATGGATGTAGGTTAGTGGTAGAGTGCTTGCTTAACATGACCAGGCGCTGATTCCCATCTTTAGCACTGCAAAAACAACCGAACAACAGCTCAAAACAGGGAATGTTTATAGAATGTGAATTAGGCTCATTAAAGCTGTTATTTTCCTAAGAATACATTGTCTTGAGAAATGAAAGGAACTTTCTGGTTGGTCTTTTATTTCTTGTTCCTGGGAAAGAAAGTCCTATACTGGAATTGCTGTTAAAGCCCAGTCTGATTGTACATTCAATCATTCTCTTCCATCTATGTTTGTAATCCACAATAGAAATTGAAAAACTGGAAAGCCCTACAATTCCTGAGAAATATTCATAACATCTGGTCAGAGGGTCTAATTTCAATAAAAGTTTGGCTTGGGGCCCGTGGGGTTCTCTACTTTAGGCTCCTCACCAATGGTTTGGGTCTGGAAAGACAACCCTCAATGTTTTAGTCATCTTGGTTTGGGTCTGGAAAGACAACCCTCAATGTTTTAGTCATCTTAGCTGGATGCCTGTCTGGGTAGCTGGTTTAAGGAAGCTGACTCTCTTCAGAGAGGAAAGATATGGAGATTGAAGGTAAGAGCATAGGTGCTCAAGTCCAGAAAAGAGTTCAGATTGGCTCAGAGGGAATGCCTTGGATTTTTAGCTCTTATGCCTCTGCCTGTCTGATGGAATGAAAAATACAACCAGAAGAAAACAGTTTGCTTACACTGGCTTGGGATGTTTCCTAGTTTTAGTCTTAGGAAATCAAACTTAAGAGTTGATACCAAGGCTGGGAATGTGGCTTAGTGGGAGAGCACTTGCCTAGTATGTGTGAAGTCTTGGGTTTGATTCTTCAGTACCACATAAACAGAAAAAGCCAGAAGTGGCTCAAGTGGTAGAGTGCTAGCCTGAGCAAAAGAAGCTCAGGGACAGTGCCTAGGCACTGAGTTCAAGCCCCAGGCCTGGAAAAAAAAGTTGATACCAAGGTATCATGTACTAGATTCTTCTTCCTTTGAAGGATTACTATATCCCCAAAGAGAATATTTTATTCCAAGTAGGGAATTTGCTGATCATGGTTTCAGATCAAGTAACTAACAGTACCCTGCATGCTCCATCCATCCTCTTAGCAACTAGCTCAGTGCCTTATGTTTTTGATTGGCAAAACAATTATTTCCTTTCATTTCAGAAGGCAAGAGGAGCACCAGTCCTGGAGAAAATACTTGGCTACAATATATGGTACTTTCCTGAAAACAATATTCATCACAATGAAACAAGGAATACTACTAATCAACAGCTTGATCTTCATCTGAGCAATGAGACCTATTGGGTGTTCGTGACTGCTTATAATTCTCTTGGGGAGTCTCCGGGCGCCAGGCTGAGGATTTCTGCTACTCAAGAGAAGCGTAAGTAGAGTACAGACTTCTCCTTTGGGTGCATAGTACCATTCAGTTAGCTAAGGAGGAGTCTTTGTCTTCTCAATGATAGCTATTCTCTTGAGTCAAAATGAAAAAGGAAAGCGAACTTTTTAGGTTGTGATGGGAAGACAGAATCTGCTGGTAACAAGCTCCTTGACAAAGAGTTCCTTTTGAACAAAGCTTATGTTAAAAAGATATATCACAGAGTACGGCCATGAGCCTGGAAGTCCTATGTGTATCTTTGTGTATCTTCTGCTGTTGGTTCTGGTCCAATATCAAATGAAAACCGGATTGAGCCACATGAAGCTGTCATATCTGAGAACGTTGTCCTTAGTGTCTGAAATCTTTCCTGAACTTTCTTCTACCCAGATGGAGCTGACTATGTTCCTAGTGGCTGAGTGTTCACTTTGTTTTCTTCCTTTTCCAAATTAGGAAAAAAATCTTATATTTACATTTGCCAGTAAGTTGCCCCTTAAACTTTTGATGAAGTAGTTTGGATTTCTTAGAGCTCTTGGAGCCACTAATATTTTACTTCCTGTTTTGGGATAAAATGCCATCTTTCAATTCTTGTAGAAGAATTGCAAAAAATAACTTTTCTTGTTTTTTCTTCATTAGTCTTAGATTATCCTTTATTTCATGTATTTTCACATTTATTTTATTGCACTTTTATCCTTTGATAAGATGTAAGTCTCAGAAGAGCAGTGACTTTTATTATTTCTTTCTTCTTTTTGTCAAAATCTGATCACCCAGAATAGTATACAGCCATTGACATAGAGCAAGTTCTTGGAAATAAGTTATCCAGTTATATCATACTTAGGGGATGTTCTCTCCAACTTGCTCCCTCCGTTTCTCTTAGCTCTAGGCATCTTCACAGCCAACTCGAGACTTCACTGCCTGTCCTTCCATCTCTTTTCCCCAAACCTCACCACTTTTGTCCTCATTTTAGAACTAGATAGTCATTCATACTTCTGTGTTTTGAGCTGTATTTGGTATTATTTTAGTTATTTAATAGAATTCCCTGCCGGGCATTGTGGTTCATGCCTGCAATCCTAGCTACTCACAGGCTGAGATCTGAGGATCACGGTTCAAAGCCAGCCAGGCAGGAAAGTCTGTGAGACTCTTACCTCCAATTAACCACCAGAAAACTGGAAGTGGTGCTGTGGCTCAAGTGGTAGAGTGCTAGCCTTGAGCTGAAGCAGTGAGAGACAGCACACAGACCCAGAGTTCAAGCCCCACGACCGACAAAAAATAAAAATAAAAAAATAAAGAATTCCCCATAGTCCTTAGTTCCCAGCATCCTTGTTCTTATCTATCAAATAGTTTGGTAATGAAGTTTCTGAGAAACAACATGTGTTATTGGAGTACATAACTTTGTTAATAGAGGTGTTACTGAATAGGAATCTCAGTTTTCAGGCCTGGCCCCAGAATGGAAGGCAGCAAATACAGGGTATGGAAACATGGGCTTTGGACCAACAATCTTGGGTTCAAATCATCACATGTCTGCAAGATGGGTGGTTTACTGGGTGAACGTAGGGAACCTAGGGAACCTAGACTCTTTCTGTTATTGTTGTTGTTGCTCCTGGTGCCTGAACTCTGTGCCTGGGTGCTGTCTCTCAGATCTTCAGCTCAAGGTTAGCGTTCTACCACTTGAGCCACAGCACCACTTCTGGCTTTTTCTGCTTATGTGGTACTGAGGAATCAAACTCAGGGCCTCATGCATGCAAGGCAAGCATTTACCACTGAGCCACCTTCCCAGCCCTGGAACCTAGAGTCTTGTGCATGCTAGGCAAGAATTCTTCCACTGACTTATGTTCCAACCCACTATTTTCATTCTTAATAAAATTTCTGGGCTGGGTGTAATGACTCACAACTGTAACCCGAGTTTCTTGAGAAATGGACATCAGGAGGCCTACCCAGGCAAAAAAGTTAGTGAGATTTCCCTATCTCAACCAATAAGCTGGGCATGGGATATTTACCTGCAGTCACATCTGTGTGGGAGGCTATTGGTGGGAAAATTGATGCATGAGGTCAGCCCTGGGCAAAAGTGTAAGGCCCTACATGAAAAGCAGGGCAATGCTTGATAAGAAATGTACTCATTATCTTACCCATGTAATTGTAACCCCTCTGTATGATATTTTCTCAATAAAAAAAGAAAAGTAGAGCAAAAAGGGGCTGGGGCATGTCTCAAGTGGTAGAGTACCTCCTAGCAAGTGTGAGGCTCTGAGTTCAAACTCTAGTACCATAAACAATTGAAGAAAGAACTCTGATTTATCACATTTCTATTAGATATTTGTATTAGTTAGGTTTACATTGTAAACAAAATACCAGCTTAAGAGAGGAAGGATTGATTTTGACCCATGGTTTCAGAGGTGTTAACCCATCATGGTAGGGTAAGGCAGAGAAAGTCACAACATAGTAGACCGAGAGAGGGGGGGGGATACAGTAAGAGGCTAGGGCACAATAAAGTTCCTGAGGACACACCCCCTCATGACCTATAGCCTCCAGATAAGCCTGACCTATCTTTCCCCACATCCCAACAATACTATCATATTATAAGTTCATTAAGGGATTAATCCATTCATTAGGTTGGCATACGCATGATTTAAATGTTTCTGAAAACACCATCACAGATACTCCCTCTAAACATTTCTCAGTCCAATTAATTAACTAATTGATTAACTATCACAGTTTTGAATTGCCAACTTTAAAATGTAAAATATACTTTAACCTAAGTTATGCTAAATTACAAAAACCCTAAGGCTTTTGTTTCTGGTTTGGTGACAGAAGTATCACTTATAATGATCCTACATAGTATTTGCCATCTATAGCTTGTAGGCCACATCTGGGGCAACATCTGGTTTTTTAAGTGAACTTTCATAGATGTATGTTGCTTTTGGTGTTTGAGCTCAGGATCTTATGCTCTCACTTGGCTTGTTTGCTTGTCTGGTGCTCTGCTACTTGAGCCATACCTTTAGCCTACTTTTTATGCTGGTCAAAAAAAGTAGGAGATGGAGGCTTACAGACTTTTTTTGCTCAGTCTGGCTTTGAATCGTGATCCTCCATGTCTCAGTTTCCTGAGTAGCTAGGAGTGAGCCACCAGCACCAGTGTAAATGATCTTTTATTGAAATAGTCGCACCTATCCATTTACATATTGTTTATGTCTTCTTTTGTGCAACATGACAAACTGAGTGGTTGTGAAAGAGATTGTTATCCTCCAAAGCCTGAAGTATCCACTGTCTGACTTTATAGAGGAAGTTTACATACCCCTGTCCTACATACACAAAACTAACGTTCTACAGAATTTTGTTTAATAAAAGAGAGATAACTGGGCTAGAGTTATGTTAATTCTAATTTTCAATTCTAAGTATAATCATTACAAATTGTCTATTAGGATGTAGGCATTATGCAAAGATGTTACAGGTAATTTCATTTTAGTTTTGAAATGACCCATGATGTCAATGCTAGTAGATTCATTTTTTAGATGATGAATATACTCAGGAAATTTTAGTAATTTACTCAAGATCTCTCAGGTAGGATTCTAGTCCAGCTGCATGAACCAAACTGGTATAGTATACTTTATCTAGAATCTTATACATAAATTGTTAGTAAAATATGACTTGAGGGCTGGAAAGGTGGCTCAGTGATAGAGTGCTTGCCTCGCATGCATGAGGCCCTGGGTTTGATTCCTCAGTACCACATAAACAGAAAAAGACGGAAGTGGTGCTGTGGCTCAAGTGATAGAGTGCTAGCCTTAAGCAAAAGAAGCTCAGGGACAGTTTCCAGGCCCTGAGTTCAAGCCCCAGTACTGGCAACAAAACAAAATACAAAATATGATTTGATATTCTGGTCACAGATGCTGTGTGAGGCAGCGGTGGTTATTTATTTCTGTGGGCTCCCTCCCTTTTTCTCATCTTTAGAATAGGGACTAGACAAGACAAACCTTTGTTCCTGGGTTCTTGATTGGCATCAGAAACCTCTTGATGCCTGAATAGCCTGAATTATCTGAGACCTTCAGCAGCGAGCAGCTGTGGAGTGGTCTGAGGCAGCAAGGGGACTAGCACAGACACTTGTGGAGTGACTGGGCCAGAGGAGGAGGGAAGACTGATCAGGGTAGAGTTCAGGCTGATAAAGGTGAAATAATACATGAGAATAACACCCATATGCAATATACTCAGTATCTTGTATATCACAGATCTCGATGGTGTTTGTAGTCAAGTCCCTTTCCTTTGTGGGGGGATTTAACTATGTTTCTTCCCATTCTTATTGATGCATGTGACGTATTGGAACGAATTGCTCAAAATGTTCTTGCAGAATGATAGAAGGATCTGAGAGTTCATCCATAATCTCTAGAATGATGATCTGGAGACTTCTCTTTCAGCATCTCTCTTTTTCTTTTTCTTTTGGTCAGTCGTGAGGCTTGAACTCTGGGCTTGGGCGCTATCTCTCAGCTCTTCAGCTCAAGACGAGCACTCTACTGCTTGAGCCACAGCGCCACTTCAGGTTTTCTAGTGGCTTATTGGAGATAAGAGTTTCATGGACTTTCCTGCCTGGACTCACTTTGAACCATGATCCTCAGATCTCAGCCTCCTGATTAGCTAGGATTATGGGTGTGAGCCACCAGCGGCCTTTTTGAGCATCTCTTAATGAGGCCAGACTCTTCTTTCCTGATTGTGACTCAGCACTTTATGGAACCATTCCCATGCTCTCTTCAGTCTCTGTAGGATGCTTGGTACTTTCTACCTGTCTCCTCTGCTCCTCTAAGCTCTGGGATTGATGAGTAGCAGTGTAGGGGCTGGAACCATCACTTAGCTTTAGGTCAAGATTTATGCGTGAGTCATATTGAGTCTAGGGAGACTAGAAAAGGAAGTGAAGGAAAATCAGTCTGGGACTGGGAAGCTGAGCCATAGGTCTATCTTGTTGTCCTTGGGTGCTGTAAACAAAGTACTAGGTGATGTTAAGCAACAGAAATCTTGTGTCTCCATTGTAGGGGTTAGAGGTTCAAAGTCAAGTTCTTGGCTGGGCAGGTCTTTCTCTTAAGTCTCTAAGGGAGGGGTTTTCTTGACTTTTCCTGCTTCCAGTGGACCTAGGTATGCTTTTGCTTATAGCAGCTCCAATAACTCCAATTCCTTTATTGTTGCTGTTACTGGTCCTGGGGCTGGAACTCTGGGATTAGGCTTCCTGAGCTTCTTTTGCTCAGGGCTAGCACCCTACTATTTGACCACAGCACCACTTTTGGCTTTTTCTGAGTAGTTTATTGGAGATAAGAGTCTCACAGACTTTCTTGCCTGGCCTGGCTTCCAACCTCAATCCTCAGACCTCAGCCTTCTGAGTAGCTAGGATTACAGGTGTGAGCTGCTGGCATCAGGCTTCCGATTCTTGCCTCACTTCTCACACGGCCAGCTTCCTGAATATCTCTTTCTGTATCCACATTACTCCTTTCTTATAAGAACTCTAGTCCTATTAAGTGAAGGACCCGCCAGCTGCAATGAACCTATTTCCACATTGTGTAACACTGGGAAATTATTTGAAGAGAAGGCATGATTCAATGTATAATACCTACAACCTAATATAAAAATCCTGGAGAATGTGATTCCTGCGTCGGAACTATGGGGAATAAGGTATTTCTCAGAGGTTCCCCAACCAAATGAAACGAACTATGAAGGAATCTGAGAGGGTCTAAAAGAGTTAAGGCGAGACTTCCAATGTTCTAGCAATGACCTTCAGCCTGGCTGGGAACCCTTCAAGGCTGTGGGGGTGGGGGAATGGCAGGAGCTCTGTAGATCAGGTAGAATTGAGAACCGAGGCTCTGTGCTCCTCCCCTGCCCCTGTCCCTACTCCAGCTTCACAAGTTCCTCATGACTTAGCTGCACTTTCTCAGAGCCAATTCTCAGCTTCACAAATGAGCTGTCCTTGTTTGGGAAAAGGACCCATAACATGTGGCTTACAAAAGCAAAAATCCTAAATATACACTCCTGCTGACAGACTCATCATTGGTCTCCCACGTGTAATTTTCCTTGCATTTCTATAACAGTTTTACTTGGATTTCTGTAACAATTTTAATCAGTAGCTCTCTGGTGAGATCTGTTTCTGGAAACAGTTCAGTGTGTGGGAGATAAAAACAAATTAAGAAGACATTTAATCATTAAATGTATTGGGCAAGGGAGGGACACAATGAAAAGAACAAAACCCACCCATAAGGGAGGTTACAGTGGACATGACGAACTCTGACTGGGTGTCCGTGTGGCTGGTGCATCTGGAGTGATTTGATAGCTGTGTAGTAGTACTTACTTTTTCCTTTCAGCATTTCGATGCATTGAAGTTGTGCAGGCCTACCGTCTTAAGGATCAGCTAGTGGTGGAGTGGAAAAGCACTGTTCCAGAAGTCAACAAATGGATGATTGAGTGGTTCCCAGATTTGAACCCAGAACTCTCTGCCTTTTCCTGGGAGTCTGTGTCTCAAGCCAGAAATTGGACAATTGAGCAAGGTAACTGGCACAGAATGTGCACTTTTTAAATTTTATATTAATCAGTTTTTAAATCCTTTAGCTTCAAAAATGAAAATGTGGCAATAACATTTGCCAAGTTTATGCAAGTTCCCTGGCATTTCCCAGGCAGAGCTGGCAAAGCTATATCAGACCCAGGGATCTAGCCTGTCTCCAGATGAAAAAGCAAATATTATCTTATTGTCTAGCACTGAAGATCCCTTCCAAGATATCTTGTTTTGTGTGTGGTGCTGGTAATTAAACCCAGGGCCTGGGCTCTTTCTATGTAGTCCAGGCTCTCTTTTAACTTGAGAACTTCCACCTTTAGCTTCCTGAGTGCTGGTATTACAGATGTGACTGACTCCTTTACAAATATCTTATTATCCTGAGGATAACATCAGAGTTTGGAGCCTATGTATCTTACCTGGAATAGTACTCATTTTGTCATCTTTTTAAGAACTAGTCCTTTCCCTAGAGATGGGTTGTCCTTTTGAAGAAAGTCCCTGCATCATGTAAAATATATGAAGCTTTGCCCTTTTAATCCTTTTACTCTAACCATTTCTCAATACTTAATAGAATACCTATTAAGAAATATGCTAGGCAGGTTGTGATGGCATATGCCTATAATCCCAATACTCTGGAGGCTGAAGAAAGAAAAATGCTTCACAATGAGACCCTGTCTCAAAAAAAAAAAAAGATGGAAGTGGCAATGATAGACTAGAACGTCTCTCTCACTTCGTGAATGAAAAGAGTAATGGTAACAAAGCAGAAGCTAAATTCTAAAGAGGGAGAGGGAAAACACTAGAAACCATGAAAGGGACCAGACAGCTGAAAATCTTGGAGAAGTAGAAAGCCCCAGTACGAGCACTCTGAAAGGGAGGAGAATCTGAAGATGCCACCATCAGGCAGGGGAACTGTTGGGGCAGATCTAAAAGCCACCAAGGTAGACCTTTAGGAACTACCTAAAGTAGTTCTGCACTGCAGCTGTTTGCTGTCAAGTAGGACTGAGAATGTTGAGCATAGCTCCTGAGAACCACGGAATTTTTCCTGCCACCTTTCTCCCATAGGACAATGAATTGCTATCTGGGGTGTGAATGCACTGAGACTGGCAGGCAGAGTGCCTGTGGCCCTCTATTTTTTACTTTCAGTGCAGAACTCAGTGTTCTGTTTTTGCCTCCCCTGCCCCATGCCACCCAACACATTCAAGAAGACACTTATGGGTTTGGGTGGTGGTTTTCCCTGTGGACACAAACTGGAGTACTGGGAAGCAATTACAAGCCTACCTGGGATACTGTGTGCAAGGTTCCTTAAGGCATCAGTGGCTCCCAGCACATAAAAAAGGGAAGCTTCAAAAATAAAATCATCACAGAAATGGGCAACTGACCTTCGACTGTCCCCACCCCCAACCAATATATAACACTAATCTGTACACTAGGAATTATAAGAGGATCCAGATAATTATTCTCTGGCTGAGTGCTGCTGTAGATTAAGCCCCATGCAATGTATAAATGGATGAATGTTTGACTACTGAACTGTATCTGCAGTCCAGTGGTGAGAAACTGTACTTCAGTTATGTCTCTACACAGTCCTGCCTAGACGTGAGAATACTTAAGCTAGAAGACTACAGATGATTTATACCCCAGCCAAAACTTAGCCTCAAGATGAGCAATTCCCAAATCAGAAACATAAGAAATATGAAAAATAAAATAACAGCATGATATCTCCAAAAGACAGCAACTTTACTAAAATGTTACCCTTCTGGAAGTAAAATCGATTAAATCTCAAAGATTTCAAAATAATTGTAAGAATGATTACCAAATTCGAGAAGAAATATAAACATCTGAAGGATTTCAAAGAGTACAAAGAAACAGCTAAATGGAATAAAGAAATCAAGGCAGCACATGAAATAGGAATTCAATAGAGAAAAAGAAATCCTAAGAAAAGAATGAAATTGAAATTCTGAAAATAAAAAGCTAAATACATCATAAAAATTCAGTTGAAAGACTAGCTAAGAGATTGGGTCATATCAAAGGCAGAATATCAAGGATTGAAGATAAGGTAGATGAATTAGAACATTAAAATAAAGATTTAAGCCAGGCACCAGTGGCTTAGCCTGTGATCCTAGCTACTTAGGAGGCTGAGATCTGAGGTTCACAGCTCAAAGCCAGCCTGGGCAGGAAAGTCTGTGAGACTCTTATCTCCAATAAACCACTCAAAAAACCATAAGTTATGCTGTGGCTCAAGTGGTAGAGTGCTTGCCTTGAGCTGAAGAGCTGAGGGACAGCATCCAGGCCCAGATTCAAGCCCCATGACCAACAACAACAAAAAAGAAGATTTAAAAAATTAAGAAATTATGAATGGAACATAAAAGACCACTGGAACATAATTAAAGAATTAATCTACAAATCATGGGCATAGAAGGAGGAGAAGAGGTGTAAACAAAAGACATGGAAAACACATTTACTAAAATAATAGTATAAAATTTCAAAAAACATCAAAAGTCCTGTCATCTAATAACAGGAGACTTTTAGAACATCAAATAGATAAGACCAGAAAAGAAAGACCCCTATATCATAAGTATACAGAATAAAGAAAGACTACTGAAAGAGTTGTTTAATAATGGAGGAATTGTGTTGCAATTTTCTCCCTATATTGCAAGAGAGAAGTTCCAAGTCTCATATGAAAGCAACGCCATGGGAATGACAACAGATTTCTCAACAGAAACTCTAAAAGAAGGAGGGGGCATGGAATGACATTTATCAAGCTCTGAAAGAAAATAACTGTCTTAGATACTGTATCCCTTATAATTAAAGGAGAAATAAAGACATTCATGATAAACAAAAACATTAATTTATGACATCCAAGTCAGCATTGAAGAAGGTATTTATAGGAATCTTACATAGAAAAGGGAATTCATACAGCCATGGAAATTCAAGTAAGAATAAATATTCATCTAGAGAACTAGATGAATAATTGAGGAGTAAGAAAGACACAAACATAAATTAACAAAAACAACAAAATGGTAAGAATTACTCAAAAATGAGAATGGTCTCAATACTGCAATAAAAAGACATGGACTGGCAGATTGAATTAAAAAACAAGTCATACCATTTGTTGTCTGTAAGAAACACATTTCACTAGCAAAGACAAGTATTGCCTAAAGTAAAAGTTTGAAAAACAGTATTTTAAGCAAATAGCATGTGAAAGCCAGTAAAATAGTACTCTTTTAGATGAGAAATCTAACTTCACACTAAAATTATTCAGGAGAGGATTAGAACATATCAAAAGGGAACAATACAACAACAGGATATAATAATTGTAAATGTATATTTACCAAATGTCAGTGAAGCCAATTTTATAAAGCAAATATTACTGGACATAAAAACACAGACTGACCTCAAAACAATTCTAGTGGGTAACTTTGATAATCAACTCTCACAAATAGATTATCAAGACAAAAAATCAATAAAGAAACTTCATAATCAAATGACTCTACAGATCAAATGGACTTAACAGATATCTACATAATATTCCACCCAACACTGCAAAATCAACATTCTCTGAAGCCCAAAGAACTTTCTAAAAATTAGATTTAATTTTAGATTACAAAGAAAATCTTAACAAATACAAGAAAATTAAATTACATACTGTATTTTATCAAATTACAATAGAATGAAACTAGAAATCTAGGGCAAAGGAAAGTACAGAATATACCTAAACACATAGAGACTGAATAATACAAGTTTGGATAATGGCAGTGGATCATGGAAGAAATAAGGGATAAAAATTCCTAGAGTCAAATGAAAATGTAAACACAACTTCCCAGAACTTCTGGGATACCATAAAAACAGTACCAAAAAAAAAAGTTTATAGCTATGAGTACCTACAGTAAAAAAATCAGAGCAATCTTAAGTGAATAACTTCATGAGACACTTCAAGGTCTTAGAAAAAACAAAAATTAGAAAAACTCAAAAGCAGTAAATGAGAAAAGAACAATGTCAGGGAAGAAATTAGCTGAATGAGCCAAAAGCAAATTAATAAACATTAGAGGTGAAAAGAGCAAAGACCAATGAAATGTGAATTAAAATTCACTGAGATTCCTTTTTACTCCACATATCATCAAGAAAACAAGTGGCAGAAAGTGAGGGAGGGGTAACAAGTTTGACAAGAAATGTACCCACTACTAACTACCCAGGAGGCTGAAATCTGAAGATCATGGTTTGAAGCCAGCCCAGCCAGGGAAGTCCATGAGACTCTTATCTCCAAATAACTACCAAAAAGCCAGAAGTGGAGCTTTGCTCAAGGTGGGAATGGGAAAAGGAGGCTCACAGGACAATATAGTTGAAGTACCTTTAAGCATGTATGAGAATACCCAATGAAACTCTCCATATTGTATAATTAAATATGAATATGTGCAAATAAAAATGTGGAGAAAATCCCAAAATAATAAAAAAAATGAATTATAATTTTGCAAGGATGCAAGGAGGTTATAGGAACAAGAATTCTTGGTTTGTGACTTCTCTGGGCTGATATGCTGTTACCAAAAGGATTGTTTCATTTTATTTATTTATTTTGGGGGGGTTAACTCTTTTTTAAAATATATTTTTATTGTGAAAATGCTGTACAGAGAAGTTACAATTACATGGGTAAGATAATGAGCACATTTCTTATCAAGCTTTGTAGCCTCCTGCTTTGTTTCCCCTTCCCATCCCTTCCCATCCTCCCCTCCCGCCCCCCCCATCCCCCCACCAAAGTTGTAAGGTTCGTTTTTCGACATAACGACTTGTACATCTCATTGTTGCAATGGGTCCTCCTGTACCCCTGTCTTAACAATTTGTTTTTTCCCTTCCCCTCCACATATACCAACATCATAAATAGTGAAAGCAGGGCTTGTACCATGGGGGAGGGACATACAAGGCAACAAAGACATGGATTGTTTTATTTTATTGTGTTCAGAAATCTATGATAAAATCAGTAATAAAGAAGATCTCTTACTTCTTCCTGTAATTTTTGTTAGAATTGTACAATTTAGTTCCAAGAATTAATTATAATTATAATTTAGTTCTAAGAATTAGACATTTTATAAGCATGAACATCAGAGTATATCATCTCAATCTCCCGATATCCAAATGAAAAAAGTGGAAAAATCAGTCCACAAATTTTAATCCAATTTTTCTTCTACTCTGGCAGGGTTTGTACTTACTGCTGATTTATTTATTTGTAAAGGTGATGTACAGAGTGGTTATAGTTACATAGGTCAGGTAATGAGTACATTTCTTTTTAAACAGTGTCACCTCTTCTTTCAGTTTCTCCCATTTTTTTTCCTCTTGACCCCCCTCTACAAGTAATATAGTTGTGTCTAGTGAATATCATTGCTGCATTAGTTCACCTTTTGTCCTACTATTTCTGTGCTTCCCCTTATCCTCCCTAAATCAGATTAACCTACATATAATATAATATAAAATGTACAGAAAAATTTTTAAAACTGTACAAAAGGGGAAAAACAGAAAAAAACACAAAAAGCAAAATAAAAATCCTCTTATTCCCATTTCTTGGAGTTCATTCTGATAAGCATCATTTTAAATGATCATATGCACTTAGCTATTGAGCCCTTGTGATCCTCTCCTAAGAATATCCTCCTTTGGTTCAGTGTGAATATTTAGAGTCCTGTTTAATTTATCATGTCATCATGTCTTTTACTATCCATTGGGTTTACTTGCAGATTTTTTTCTTTCTTTTTCAGATAAACTAAAACCTCTCTGGTGCTATAACATCTCTGTTTATCCAATATTGCAAGATCGAGTGGGAGAGCCATATTCCATCCAGACTTATAGTGAAGAAGGCAGTATGTATGGGCAAGCTCTGTGGGGGAGTGGAAACTTTGGGGGACCCTTCAATATTCAGATGCTGCTGTGAATGCTTACGACTTATTTCAGGTTGCCTTGGGGCTTATTTGTGCTGTACCTTCATCTTGTATTAAACGATATGTATTTGACACAATTGGGGTCAGGAAATAAGAGACACTAAGTTTCAAAACTGGGCAAACATTAGCAATCACCAAGTCCAATTCTGATTTCACAAATGGAAAACTGAAGCTCAGAGTCATGAAAGAAAATAACCAGCATCAAAAGAAGCAGTGCAAATGGAACTGCAACCAGGAATAACATTTAATTATGGGACCCACTCAGATCCTACGGTTTCATCATAAGTTGATCATGTCAAAATTAATTATGAAGCAATGAACATGGGCTTTACCTGTGAATTACTAGACTGCATCTTTTAGAAGCTAATCTTCCAGGTATTAATATCTTGCAGATATTTAGAAGTTAATGTCTTCTAGATATTATCAAATAATTCAACTATTTGATAATAGATACTTTACAAATATAAACAAAAGAGCTGTTTGCCAAATTGGAATGAGAAGTCAGTAAGACAGTACTTTTTCTCTGGCCTTTGTTTCTAATCATTTTGTTTAAGATTTTGTTTCTCCAGACCACTTGGCTCCTCAGATCATTACTTAGCCTCTATGTTGTACCTCTTACAATGTGCAGCTTTGATCTGCGTGCTGGCAGTGTCTATGTGGGGGGAGGATCTGCTAGGGTGTGATTCAACATTGCTTACTTATCTCTCTGTCCGCTCAAGTTCCAACAGAAGGTCCAGAGGCCAAAGTGGAGAACATTGGTGTGAGGACAGCCACGATCACATGGAAAGAGATTCCTAAGAGTCAGAGAAATGGTTTTATTAGCAACTACACCATATTTTACCAAGCTGAAGGTGGAAAAGAATTCTGTAAGTGTGGTCATAGCCAAGGTGAAAATCAAGCAAACACGCCAACAAACAAAAAGCACTTTTCGGGCTGGGAAGGTGGCTCAGTGGTAGAGCGCTTGCCTTGCATGCCTGAGGCCCTGGGTTCGATTCCTCAGCACCACATAAGCAAAAAGAAAAAACAGGAAGTGGCATTTTGGCTCAAGTGGTAGAGCGCTAGCCTTGAGCTGAAGAGCTGAGGGATAGTGCCCAGGCCCAGAGTTCAGGCCCCACGACCGGACCAAAAAAAAAAAAAGCACTTTTCCAAGCAGATGATAGGGCTAGATGTGTCACAGGGATGACTCCTAAACTGTAACCTCTATCTGCATGGATCACTGTAGCTTTTTCCAGCTTCTCTGAAAATGGGCTCAAGAGCATAATTCAAATGAAAAGTGAGGTGGAAGAATGGAAAGTCCTGTAGGAATGGAAAGAGTTGATATAATTTGTCCTGGCCAGGTACTGAATGCGTCAACCCCTTCAAAGAGTTCTCTGACCATAATTCCTGAGAAAGATATTCCTGGCTTAAAAAGTGGGGTAAAGCAGGGTAGACAGATCTTGTTTGGTGACCCTTATTACACACTCTCTCTCTCTCTCTCTCTATCAAGTGCAGGGCTCTTTAGCATGAGTTCTACTGTCCACTATCAATATTTGCTTTGTTTTTGTTTTTGAGTCCACAGTATCTCCTGACATGCTAAATTTGGGCTGCTTTGGCTAAATTTTGTTTTTGTTGTGGTAAATGACACATACAATTTGTCACTTTAGGAGGGGTGAACTGTTCAAAAAGAAATATACTCAATACTTGACTTATATTACTATAACCCTTCCGTGCATCACCTTTACAATAAAATATTTTAAATACCACTTTAAACATGCAAATATATACCATTTCATGGTATTAAAAACATTCACAAAGTTGCACAACTATTAATCACTCTAATTCCAGAACTTTTCTATTCCCATCGAAAGAAACTTGGTACCCTTTCATCATTTGCTCCTTATTCTCCTCCTTTCACAGGCTCTGGAAACTACTAAATTGTTCTGTGACTTTGGATTGCCTATTCAGGATATTTCATATAATCTGATCATCATTGAGGTGTAACTCAGTGAGAGAACACTTGTCTAACACATGCAAGGCCCTAGGTTCAATCCCCAGTACTGCAAAAACAACTACTCAAAAAAATAAAGAAATCATACAATGTGTTTATCTATCATATGACAAATTAGTGTTTAGTGTGAAGCAATAACTCATCTGTTCATGTGGTTGCCGATCATTTGTTGATCTTCTTTGGAGAAATTTTTCCTAATTTCTTTACCATTTTGAAAATGAGTTGTCTTTTGGGTGTTGAGTTATGGGATCTTTATGTATAGTAAATTTAAACTCTTTTATCAAATGTATGATTTGTAAATATTGTCTCCAATTTTGCCTGTAGTCTCTTCACTATTTTGGTACTGTCTTTGGATGAACAAGAGCTTTTTTTAAGTTGTTATTAATAAGGAGTTGTATAAAGGGGTTACAATTTCATAAGAAGTTATGAATACATGCTTCTTGGGCATTTTCACCTCTCCATTTTCTCCACTTTCCCCTTCCCGTCCCTGGCTACAAGCTACATAGTTCACTTTTACCACGGTGTATATTGTTAATGTTTTTTTTTGTTGTTGTTGGTTGTGGGGCCTGAGCACCGGGCCTGGGCACTGTCCCTCAGCTCTTCAGCTGAAGGCTAGCACTCTACCACTTGAACCACAGCACCACACTTGGCTTTTTCTGCTTATGTGGTACTGAGGAACGAAGCCCAGGGCCTCATGCATGCTAGCCACCTTCCCAACTTTGTTGTTTTTGTTTTCAAGTTGTTTTCTGTGTGGTGCTGGGAACTATTCTGGGCCCTGTGGATACTAGGCAAGCATTCTTCCCCTGGGCTATCTCCCCAATCCCAAAACTTTTGGTATTATATTTAAGAGATCATTATGAAATTTAAGGTAATGAAGATTTACCCTGTGTTGTTGCTTGAGAGTTTTTATAGTTTTAACTCTTAGCATTAGTTCTTTAATCCTTTTTGATGAGCTTATCTTGAGCAGGTAGTAGACCAGGGTAGGACTGAGACAAATGGACATAGAGTGCTAATGAAGTTTTCAGTTCATCTCTTGGCGGTTTTGTTTTTGACTTCTGTTATTTTTCCTTTAGCCAAGACAATGAATTCTGGCATCCTGCAGTATGACCTGAAGTCTCTGACCCGGAAGACCTATTACACTGTTCGGGTCATGGCAAGCACCAAAGCTGGGGGGTTCAATGGGACTGAGATAAACTTCAAGACATTCTCCATCAGTGAGTACTTTTGTTAAGCTCTCTATACCTCTTCTTGGTATTTACAGTAGCTCATTTCCAAAGGTAAGGGAAACTAAAGGGAAGGCAGGACTTGGATGAGCAGAGCCATGCCATTTTCTGGCTCAACTCATCTTCCTGAAAGCATATGGTAAGGAGGCAGGAGGGGGAGCAGGCAAGTGGAGGGCTGAATTTAGAAAGACTGAGCACCGTCTCCTTTCCTAAAAGCAGAAAGGAGACAAATCAATTTAATGTTAATGCCAGTCTCAGCACCAGATGGGCTCCCATGATGACAGCTACCCCAAGTTCACGGCCACCAGTTTCAGAACATCAGAAGTGATTGGATAGTAAGACCCTGGAAGGAAATTCTTGGTTGATCAAGGACCATTTACCCACAGGAAGAGACTGCATCTTATCATTTGTGGATTTTTTTGAGCAAAAAATGTGTATAATCTGTTTAACTTACATGTTTTTACATTAAAACAGGGAGCAAGAAAAATTTAATAGATATAGCAAATGATGTAAAATAGAATATGATGGCTGGTTAAGGAAGGTGTTAGAGTTTAGAAAGGATGAAGGAGCAAGAATAAGAGAAAGAAAGTGACTTTTTTCAGATTCTTGAATGATGTAGATTTGATTTTTAAGGACATATGAGAACTATTTTAAGGAATGAACAGTTTGGATTCAAGATGAAAGGACACTGCAGTTTTGTAATAAGTAGCACAAGCTTAAAAGTATCTGCTTGAAGGTTTTTCTTTTTTCAGTTTTGGGTATTAAACCAATGCTCAGGTCTATTGAACATTGCATATGTATCTTGCACGTGCTAAGCAATATCTCTATCACTTGAGCTCTGTTCCCAGCCATTTTGACTTATTTATTAGTTATTGATCAGCACATAGCAATTTTTCCAAGGAATTTCATTGTCACATTGCCATGTGTTCATGTAACTTTAATCATGTAACAATACTTTAATCAAATTCACCCCCTCAGTTCTCTTTTTGAAATCATCTCTCCCATCTCTTTCAAACAAATTTAGCATGATTATTTATTACTTTATTTTTACAGATGTGCATGAAATACTTAGATCAGTTTACTCCCTCTCCCTTCTGCTTTCCCCTGCCTCCTCCCTGTGGTTCCACTCCCAAACAGTCCCCATTTTACATTCATGGCATTCATTTTTTTAAACTCTAGATTCCCACATAAGAGTGAACCTGAGAATATTTCTTTTTCTCAATATAGCTTAGTTCACTTAACCTATACCCATGGCTTTCAGGGTTTTAATCAATTGACCTCATTTCTATCACTTTCTCCATTTTCTCTAACTTGTTCCTGATCCAAAGCTTTGCATCTGCCTGGAATGCTAAATCTTCATGACAAGCTTCCTTTCAATAATTATTAAGATCAACTCCAGCCAGAGGTGATAGTACTCTATAGAAAGTTTCCTAACCTCCCTTTAACTCTATTCTTGTTACCCTCTATCCTATTATTTTGTTTTATCTAAAACAACCCTAGGTTATTTATTGTTTGAGTCCCTTTTCCAGAACATAAATTCATTTTTGTAGGGCTCCTATATTTCTTACTTACTACTGGGTGTTTTATTATACAGGATAGTGTTTGGCAAATAGAAAGTTCTCAGTAACTATTCACTGAGTAACGTTTGCGAGATGGCCATTGTGAACAAAATGTCTTTCAATGTAGCATCAATTGATGTCTATCAGATTAGGCAGAGAAAAGTTAACTAGATGAGGAACTAAAATCTAAGGTTCTTTTAATGAAAATAAATTGAATTTAATTGAAAGTAAATTAGTAAGAAACATTGCTAAAACTACTAAAAGAAAACATTGATCCCTGATTTTTGCCAAAAAGTTGAAAACTGATGACAGACTTTTGTTCGCTTTTCCCTAAAGGTATCATGGAGATTATCCTCATAACATCTCTGGTTGGAGGAGGCCTTCTTATGCTCATCATCCTGACAGTGGCCTCTAATCTCAAAAAACCAAAGTGAGTTTATAAGGAAGGCAGGTGCCTTAAAAATGGGCAGAAAGGGGTGGAAGGAATCTTGGTACAAGAAGACATTTTACCCTAAAGAGTGTGTCTAGTCATTTACTAACTTGCTGCATATTTGTTGAGATTGTTTAACAGCTATACTGTGGTTTATCAGAATTCTGAAGAGCAAGTAGAGTTCCATAGCTCCATATACCATGTCTAGGTAGTTTTGAGTTTATGGAGTGCCAGCTATCACCACAGGCTTTATCTGTTGTACTTGTCATCTGAGATTAGAGTTGGAAAGGAGGCCCTTGCTCTCAGTGTCTAGAATAGGCCCCTGAGAGAATCAAGGGGCAGAGCAGGGAGCTATATACCCCCGGAGTTAAGAGTGTTGGCCAGTTATAGGACAACACAAACTTATTCCTTGCTGTGGTTCAGTGTTGGAAGGCAGGTGCCAGGGGTATTTGTCCTACCTTCCCTGGCTGAGATGGGAAGGAAGCTTGTCTTTGGGTCCTGAGTTTCTCCCCCATAGTAAACCTTGTGGTACAATAGTAAACTTTATGATACCATAAAGCACCTTCCTGGTAGAAATCTCTCTACACATTGGACAGTTGTGGATCTTTTCTCCTGAACAGCCATGGTTGGTTAATGCTTGAGCTAATGTCAACCTCAGTTGACAATAGTAGGTTGCAACATAGCTGCAGCCCAGACTCTTGTATACTAAACACTTGCAATCATCCTTAATCTTTAGCCTACAAGGGTTTCTGTTTCAGAGTTCTGGGGTAAAGCTGAAGAATCTGCATTTCTTCCAAGCACCCTGAGATCCTGGTTGCAGGTTGGGACCAAGCTTTGAGAACCACTTTACTAAAGTGTGGGTCTCTTGCAAGGTTCAGTACATTGCCCCTTGCAGGGATTAAATCTCAAGGCCACGATGCTGTGCTAGTGTAGTTTCTAACATGAGGACCAGGAGTGGAGGCAGGGGTGGAGAGAGAGGAAGGTAAGGCTGGGACTGTATGAGGGAAAGTCACCCATCAAATCCCATAGAGAACTTGCAATGCCATCCCCACACAATTTCACCTGCTTTATCTTGGTCACTGTATGTCATAGGGAGCTGTATAAGCCCCTTTAGTGAACTTCACAGTTTTGGCTCAGCCACACAGTGTACATGAACTACTTCCTATATTCACCTCCTGTTTGAAAAACCTTACCTCATTTCTTATTAGCAGGTTGACTCACCTATGTTGTCCCCATGTCCCCAATCCTGCAGAAAGCAGTATAGCCTCATGGCATGGAGACAATCTCAAGGTAAGCATTGCTGTTGGTAATCAATGGCTGTGGGAGGTGGATGGCGTGGAGAGAAGCCTTTTTCTCAGGATTCACACAAGGAGAACTCAAGGCTGAAAAGTCCCAGGAAAACAGCTGATAGAGCAGATGGAACCGGCTTTCCTGGAATGAATTTAGCCTCATACTCTTGACAGGAGCAAGGAGATTCATAAGGTTTATGAGGATCCAGGTATTCCTAGGCTAGAATTGGTCCTCTGAAGGATGTCGTAGGAGAATAATACTGGTCCTACTCTTACTGACTCAACTTTCTTTTTTATTTATTTATTTTTATTTATTTATTTATTTATTTTGGGTCCAGTTGTGGGGCCTGAACTCTGGGCCTGGGCACTGTCCTTCAGCTCTTCAGCTTGAGGCTAGCGCTCTACCACTTGAGCCACAGCGCCACTCCCGGCTTCTTTTTGCTTATGTGGTGCTGAGGAATCGAACCCAGGGCCTCAGGCATGCAAGGCAAGCGCTTTACCACTGAGCCACCTTCCCAGCCCCCTGACTCAACTTTCTAATCTGGCTAGAAGATCTGAGGCCATTTAAAACAAAGCAGCCAAGAGCAACTTTGTCTAGAGACCACCTAAAGAATTTGAGAGGATACTTGGCAGGCAAGGTCATCCAAAAGCTACCTTAAATTCTGACCCTCAAGCCGTATGTACAGTAACTGGCACTGGGATGCACTGGTATCTTATCTTCAAGTAGCAACCTTCCTTTTAAAATTGAAAACCTGTCCAGTTTCTAAAGGCTGATTTCTTGCCTAGCCAAATACAACCTTTAAGTCATGATAGAAAGACTATTTCCATTTTTTAGTACAGGAATTTTAAATATTTACCTTTAATTTCAACTCAGAAATTGTTTGTTTGTTGTTGTTGTTTTGCTGTTGTTGGTCGTGGGGCTTGAACTCTGGGCCTGGGCACTGTCCTTCAACTCTTCAGCTCTAGGCTAGTGCTCTACCACTTGAGCTACAGTGTCACTTCCGGTTTTCTGGTGGTAAGAGTCTTACAGACTTTTCTCCTCAGACTGGCTTTGAACCACTATCCTTAGATCTCAGCCTCCTGAGTAGCTACGATTACAGGAGTGAGCCACCAGTGCCCGGCTAGAAGTTAATTTTTCAATAGCATGGACATTTTTGTTATAACAGACCGTTTTGTACTTTTCTCCTTTCCCTTACCAGTCTTATATTACCCCTCTTTACTCACTTATTAGAAGTTAAACTATTAATTAACTAGTACACAGTATTATCTGATGAATAAATGCTGTAATAAGCTGTAGGTCAGCATTGTACAGTGAGCACTGGCTAATCATCTGCTGTATATCAGCTGGGCTAGGCTTTGGGGTACAAAGATGAAAAACACATTGTCCTTGTCATAATACCACGTTTGATTTTCTAGTGCCATTGGCAGGTGTTATAGCAGGGACTTTCCCATGTCCAGAGTTCTAATTTTGGTGCTTCCATCTTCTTGGCAGCTGTGAAAATGGAATAGCCTTGAGCTTTCTAGAAGAAGTATTTGAATACAGGGTACTATTTCTCGAGGAATGGAGCATTCTTTCCAAGTTATTGTGGGGATTATAGGCCACCACTTCATAGCTGGAGAGTTGTATTTCAGATGTGGGGATCTGGTACCTCAGATCAAATGAGCTTTTGCCTTCCATTTTTATCCTTAAATTATCACTGGTTTCCCATTTCTCTTTTCTAGGATAAGCTAAATCTGAAGGAGTTTGATGACTCTGTAAACACAGAAGAAGACCAGATCCTAAAACCATGTCCTGCCCCCACTGACCTCATTGACAAGTTAGTGGTGAACTTTGAGAATTTTTTGGAAGAGATTTCCACAGAGGAAGCTGGAAAGAGTCAGAAAACCTTTTTGGGAGGAGAAACAAATGAGTATGTAACCTCTCCCAACAGGCCTGGCTGTGCCCCATGGGAAAGTTTTGAGGGCCCTCAGACTTCAACTGAGATTCCTTCCAGAAAACCACAGGATACAACAGAGATCTGCTCTGAAGCCGTAGAGCAACTTTATTATTCTGATCAAAGTTTAGGATCAAATCATGTCAGTGAGGAAGGAACACCAAATCCGTACTTGAAAAATTCGGTAACAACCAGAGAATTTCTTGTGCATGAAAAAGTTCCAGAACAAATCAAGGAAGAATTCTAAATGTCCCCAGGGCATGAGGCCCTCCCAGTTTCAGTGTGGATGACCCTTACCTAGAGAAGACAAGACTTTTCAAGGAGTACACAATGCATTCGTTCCCATTCTGCCTGGGTTCAAGAAGGTGCACCACAGCCAGGTGCCAGGTGGACTGGCAGCCGCACATGTGAACTTGAGCTGGAAGGAAGAAATAAATGGTGATAGATAAGCCTAACTGTTGTGTAGGGGAAAGCAATTTCTTTCTTCTTATTCACATAACAAGCTCTTCTTGAGCTCCCCTAACACACTGTCTTTGAAAGATTCCAAGCTCCAAAGATCTTGCAGTGAACATTTCTGGTCTTCCCTAGGAATTGAGTCATGGTCCTTGCTTTTGCTGGGACTGCCTCTCAGAGTTCTAGAAGGGACCACACCAGAGAGCAGGTGTTTGGTTGATTGTTGACTGTCAGGAACTTGGGCTCTGTCCTCTTCTGCTAAGTAATTCTTTTTTGTTTGTTTTGGGTCCGGTCATGGGGCCTGAACTCTGGGCCTGGGCGCTGTCCCTCAGCTCTTCAGCTCAAGGCTAGCGCTCTACCACTTGAGCCACAGCGCCACCTCCGGCTTTTGTTTTTTTTCTTTTTGCTTATGTGGTGCTGAGGAATTGAACCCAGGGCCTCAGGCATGCAAGGCAAGCGCTTTACCACTGAGCCACCTTCCCAGCCCCTCCGCTAAGTAATTCTGACATTTTTCTCTCCTCTATGTCGGGGCTGGAAGTGAGGCAGACTTTCCAAAAGGTGTGCCGAGGTATGTCATAGTGCTTGTTAAACCTCAAGAACCTACAGCAACACATTACCTGAGACTTTTCACCTACCTTAAATTTTGTTTTTGGCTGTAAATAAGAATTGAACCCCAGGCCTCACGTGTGCTAATAAGCAAGCACTCTTCCACTGAGCTATACCTCTAGCTTGTTGCACAATGACTGCTAGGAGAGAAAGTTCCAGTGGGATACTGGGAATAGACTCTCGCTAGGCAGGTGGTCTACTCCAGTGTGTGGGCCATTTTCTATCCCTTTCTTCCCTTCTTCCTATATCCTGACTAGAAATAGAAGGCCAAAACAGGGATGTTGACCTCAACTACACTGACAGAATATAGGGATGCTGACTGAGCAGACTCTGAAAATGCCTCCTCCCAGGAGAAGTAGAGCAGAGCAGGGAACATGCAATAGCAGCTTTGATGCTCCATCACAAGAACTTCTGCTCCATTGTTCCAATTCAGTGCGGAGCTCGGCATAGTCAGTGGAGTCTTTGGGAAAAGTGCTGATGGAAAGATTCATTCTCCCACAGCTGCCTTGTGCTCACAGCCTCACGACAGTGAATAATCTCCCTGGGACCCTGGTTAGATAAGCCTGAGGGGTGACAAGTCAGGTGCCGGAGGTGCCATGAAACCCAGCACGTACAGCCAATGAGGCTGAAGTTATTTGTCTAGAGGTGTGAGAAGCTAGTACTCAAGTTACAGGCATGAACTTCCAAACCACCAACTTAGGTATCCAAAAATATCACTTTCCTTTCCTATAACTAAAATCAGTTGCAAGCCCAAGACCTTGACCTTGCAAATCCAAGGTCATGGCAGTCCAGTTTGGTGACTTATAAGGTCCTTTGCATTTTTAGCATGTCCCGGTTGGGACTGGGCCTCCACAGTCATCCCTGGGACAGACTCTGAGGCTGCTCCATGGAACAGCATCTGTAGGGCAGAGTCGTCCATTCAGTGGACTCTTCTGGGGTCCAGTATTTGTGTAGCCATGGTTTGTCACTGGTCTGGCATAGATGACTATAGTCTACCTCTCCTGATTGGTTCACTTCCACTCTTCCCAACTGCCACCTTCTGTGGGCGTAGGTAGGCATGGCTACTCTCACAAAGCCCCCTCCCTCCTCATTCTAACTGAGTGTCTTCATTATGTCTCAAGTGGCTGAGTCTCCCTTCTGTACCAGGGTTCTTCACCCCTAGTTTTCACAACAGTGATTGCTGGTCAGTGAGAGAACGAGGGAGGCCCAGTACTGGAGGCTGAGCATGGAGAAACGGCACTCTTGGGATTTTATCACATGCTCTCATCCTTTGTCCAGATCTCAAGTCTGGGCATAGAAAGAGACCCTAGCAAAAGGGATACCCAATCTCAGATCCCGTGGCTTCCCTCGCACCTGCCTCCCAACCTCTACTACTGGCTTGGGTACTAATGAGCCTTCTGCCCCCAGGGTTCCTGGTGGGCTCTTGCCACCTCTGACTTTAGATATGTGACCTTGTGAGGGTGCTTTTCAACTTGCCTGAGGAAAGGGAAATATAAGCCCCTACTTCTCTTCTCTCTCTCCCTCAAGCCCCCTGGACCCCTCTGGCTGGGAGAATCTTTTCAGGTTCTGCGAGGTGAGTGCAGTGACAGAAGCCATGAATGAACAAGGCCTCACGGTCTTGTCTGTCTCACACCAGATGAAGCTTTCTAGTCTGAAACTTGTGAACATGTTGGCTGTGGAGAGAAGAATGGCTCCTGGGAGTGGGTTCCAGAAATTCAGATTCTACCCTCCACTATGGTTTACTCATTGAAGCAGAGAGTATCGCAGCACCGCCCTGGTTCTTCCTCTGTTTCATTTCTTCCCTTTTCTCTCTGTCTTTTTCACCCTCTGTCTTCTGCTGCTTTCTCCCTTCCAATGGTCTAATCTTTTCAATCCTTCCTTTTCTTTGGTGCCAGTACTGGGGCTTGAACCTGGGGCCTGTCACTGAACTCTTTTTGCTCAAGGCTAGTGCTCTACCACTTGAGCCACAGCAAAACTTTTGGCTTTTTGTAGTTAATTGGCAATAAGAGTCTCATGGTCTTTTCCTGCCCAGGCTAGTTCTGAACCCACCATCCTCAGATCTCAGACTCTTGAGATAGGATCATAGGTATGAGCCACAAGTGCTCTAGGGTCCTTCCTATTTCTATTCACTCCTTTCTCCCTATGTCCCATCAGCCTCCACATGCCCTAATTGCCATTATCTTTGAGGGACTGGGATATTGTCCTAGGTGGGTTCAGAGGGCCCAGTCCCAGGAGCAGTTGGTTTTTCCACCTAGGGAAACTCAGTCTGGGCTCTGCAGGGTAGCATCATGGGACACAAGCCTTTGTGCTCAGAGGCCACTGGTGACTTTCTCTCCTGGATCAAGTTACCAAGTGTCCCCACTTCTACTGTCCCAGGCTTGCTTTGTGCTCCATCTGGGTTTTCTCTGTGTACTGTCAAAGCAAAGAGATATGGAGAGGACACCATAGGAATACTTGAGTTTTCAGCAAAGTCATTAAAAACAGATGAAATTCCCATTGAAGAGTGTTCTGGGGGCTCTGGGAGCCATGCAAACAGCTATCTTAGTATTCTGTTATAGCTTTTTTTTCTGGTAGGAAAAAAAATTAAAGGCAGAGAGGACATTTTTTTAAGAATGACTCCTTCCTCCTGGCTTTCTCAGAGGGCAACAGTATAAAAACTGCCAGGGTTTGCAAGAGACAGGAACAGGGTTTTATAAAAGGACAAGTCGGGCTGGAAATGTGGCTTAGTGGTAGAGTGCTCACCTAGCAAGCATGAAGGCCTGCGTTAGATTCCTCAGTACCACATAAACAGAAAAAGCCAAATGTGGCACTGTGGCTCAAGTGGTAGAGTGCTAACCTTGAGCAAAAGAAGCTCAGGGACAGTGCCCAGGCCCTGTTCAAGCCCCATGACTGAGAAAAAAAGGAAAAATAAAAATAAAAAAGGGACAAGCCCAAGGGTCTCAAACTGGAACAAGCCAAACCCTGGCCAGTTTTCTGTAAGGCAATGAGCTGCTAATAGTATTGGCATGTTAAAATGGTTAAAAATAAAAGCACATGTTTTCTGATGTGAGAGGTATATGAAATTCAGTGGCCACAAACAAAGCTTCATTGGAACCCAGCCATGATCATTGTTTAATATCTTCCGCAACAAAGGAGAACTGAGGAATTGCAGCAAGCACTGTTTGCCCTGCCTCTCTGATCCCACAAAGCTTGTAATATTTTACCATCTTGTCCTTTACACTAAGTTTTGTACATCTTCTGTCACATATGTGTGTGTGTGTGTGTGTGTTTCAGACTGCATTGTGTTTTAACTTTGAGTTAACTCCTCATCAAAAAAGACCAGGATAATCCTAGCTACTCCAGAGGCTGAGATCTGAGGATTGCAGTTCAAAGCTATCCTGGGCACAGGCCCCAACCCCCCTACCTCTTCTCCACCAGAGACCAGGATATGCCATTCAGGGATTAACTTCTCCTTATAAAAGGGCACATGACATGCAGGCTGAGTATAGTGGTATGCATTTATAATCCCAGTTGTTTGGGAAGTGGACACAGGATTGTGGTCTGAAGCCCACCCACACAGGCAAAGCTAGCCGCAGATACTGTCTGCAAAACAAGCTAAAAGCAAGAGGTCTAGGGGTGTGGGTCAAGTGGCAAATGCTTGCATAATGAGCACTAAGGCCTAAAGTCAGTCCCCAGCACTGCCAAAAAAGAAAAGAAAAAAAAGAACATGACCTTTAGGCTCCCTGAAGCCTTTATCACTTCCTGCTTGCTGTACGTAGCTGAGCTGAAGAACTGGTGGTTCTCAATGGGAGTGATTCTCTCCCCCCATCCTAACTCCAACCATGAGACATTTGACAATGTCTGTAGTTACTTTTGAATGCATAACTAGGAAAGTGCTCCTGGCATCTAGTGGGGAGAGACCAGCGATGCTAATATCATCCATCAGTATACAGAAGAGTCCACAGAGCTAAAGGATACCAGACTCAGAACATCAGCAGTGCTGAGGTTGTGAAATTCTAGCCTGCCTGTTTTGGATAGCCACTGCATTTGCCTTGGTGTGACCCAGTAGCCATACTTAGGGCCCCTCAATCAAGTTATATCAATTTATACACTGTTGATGAGAATGTAAGTACAGCTGTTATGGAAATCTGTATGAATGTTCTCAAAAAACTAAAAATGGAATTATTATTAATCCAGTTGTGCTATTTA